CGGAATAAGAAGGTCGTGCTTCTACTCCCCTGAACCCGATTGACCACAGTCTGAATAATCTCTGACCATTGGTTCATATTTCTTTGATTCCCCAGCCCTTTTATCGTCCCATTCGAAACTTCCACAGAATATGGACACTCAGAAAAGATGTGATCTCTAGTTTCCACACCCGTACCACAGAGCCTGCATGTTATCACAACTTGAGTATTCCACAAGAGAATCCTATCGCCATTTGCCAATCTATTGTGTATTGCAATCCATATCAAGAAAGAAAATTCAGGAGTAGCACTCGGGAACCAAACCCTTTCCACCACGTCACTTTAGGAGATTTTTCTCGAATAATATCCCAGGTCTGAGCCTTGAAAAAGTCCTCTTTATACTCCTCATTATTTCTCTTCCATAAACGGATATCATCTTTCTGATCTAAACCCTGGCTTTTCAGCATCCTGACCTCCTGATCAATCAAGCAAAGAGAAGGATCTCGACGCCTTCTAGGTCTATACATCTGGATAGCCCTCTCAACAGTTGTGTTAATAGGAATACCAATATCCATAGTGCCTCTATCACCGGTTAACTTGATAAGAATCCCCGAAGAAGACCAATTGTCATACCAAAAAGAAGTGTTCGAACCATTATAGACCTCAACACTAGTTAACGTCCTAGCTATATGCCTCAAATTTAACAACTTCCTCCACATCCAAGATCCCATACCACTCTTCTCTTTGACATTTCAGAAGGATCCTTTCCTGACAAGGACTTAACAGAAATTATGCGCCATATCAACTTGAGACAAGCAACTCTATTAACCTCCAAAAGATTTTTCAATCCCAAACCTCCTTCATCTTTTGGTTTACAAATATCAATCCACGCGATTTTAGCTTTATACGGAGAAAGAACTGGGCCCGACCAGAGAAATGCAAGCATCATCGTATTTGTCTTGGTCGTTCTCTCCATTTATGTTGTCTCCTTTGCCAAGCAGAACCCTTTGGAAACTTCCATAAGAAAAAACATTACGGGTCGCTCTCTCCTCTTTCAAACAAACCCAAAACATCTCATTTTTAGCTGTGAGATGAATTATGCAAAGAAAAGACACGAAACATCATATACTTCTTGAAATTGATAGGGAAGTTCCCACCATAATACGTTAAGGCGTTGTGCATTGTGTTTGGAAGGGATGAGAAAGCAGTGAAGCCATACAATACTTCTAAAGGGTTGAACCGTTTGAAGGAGCTCTTCAATAGCTTAACTTGCATAAAAAGAACCACCTTGGCAATCAATAATAAGAGCCATGTGTAAATTTGCATACGAAGAAATATCGTTCAATCCCTCTCTTCTTCTCCTTCGAACAATCTCATTACATCTCATGATTACAATGTCAAGGGAGACCAGTTATGCAGAGATGAGACACGAGCAATTATGTACTTCTTAAAAAGAAACCGGAAGTTCCCAACCTACTATGTTGAGGCATTGTGCAATGTACTTTGAGTGGACAAAAAGGAAGTGAAGGAATACATTATTAAGAAATGGCTGAACTATTCGAAGAAGATCATGGATAGCTTAGCTTGTGCTTCGCCGTAAAAGAATATGTATTTTTATGGATTCAAAATAATCAAAACCTTTCTATTATTTTTCTCCATTGCATATTACCTAAATATTGATCGTGAGTCCAAATAAACAACAGTTATATATTCATTCACTTTCTGGTTTGGTACATTTCATTTTAATTTTGGGGTTCAATTTGGTTTAGGTTTAGTTCGTTTAAGTTATTTTGTTATCACATTCTCTTAACTAGTAATATCACATCCTTGTAAGTTTTATTTTCTTACAAAAACTATATTATTCCTTTTTAACACATACACCTATACACAATCACATATAATTGTATGTTCAGTACTGAGTAACCTGAAATGTTTGGGAAGTCGACACAAAATGCATATCAAATTTTCCTGGATAAAACAGTCTTATTAAGATCAATGCATGTATTATATGTAAGAGTGGGCACAGATCGAATATTAACCTAATTTCAGTATTTGTGCTTTGCTTCCTAGTTTATGGCTATCTGGTTTATAATTTTTTTTAAATTAATTTTCAAATAATTTTTATTTCATTTCAAACAATTTGGTTTTATTTTATTTCTTTAAATGTGAAAGAAATTTATTATTTTGTCAAAAATACCACCTTAGGAAGTGGTGTTTGAATTTGTTGTTTTTACACTATAAAATATCATCTAATCCCTACCAAATCTCATTTGAAGGATTTTATTGAAAAACTCCATATTTTCCAATAAATTGGAATTTGAGAGAACTTATACAAATGACTAATCCAATAAATTTAAATTTCATATGGAAATTATAAATGCTAGATACAATAAGAGGAGATTTGAGAAAAAAAATGAATTCATTTCAAATCTTTGATCCAATAAGACCCCTAAGTCTTAAATGACATAAAATCAAACATCTTTTTAGAAGTATGCAAATTTAAAATCATTCTTTAAACCTAGTAAAATTATCATATGTAGTTTTGTAGGCGATGTTCTTTTTTTTGGTCGCCCAAACTAGCGATAGCGGCAAAAGAATAACATGTCGATGGGGACAAGCTGAACCGTTTTGAAAGTAAATTTAGTCGCCAGCAAAATGAAGATACACAAAATTATACATATATAGCCAATGCATTTTTGAGGTTGTATGTGGTTTCAAGCCACGGTGGCCAAGAGCCTAGTCATAGCGCATGTGATTTTCCTTTTCGTCTCCTTGACCGTTTGAATGTAGATCCGTTGACTGGCTAGTTTGGTTTACTTCACATCTTTCAGCGCAAGATTTGGCGAAGAGCACAACTTTTTCAACGCCACGAACCAAAACTTAGCCCCACGAACTTTTTGGCAGATTTAGTCAGTGGAAATATCAAATATGTTATTAGTTGATTTCATAACAGTTCTGTTTTTAGTGTTCAATATGTTAAACGGGTCAAACAAAATTCTTGTTCTTAAAGATGCAACGTGAGGTTCTTTAGGTACGTTCAAAAGACTAAAGCATCACCAGTAAAAGAAAAAGCAAGAAAAAAATAATATAAAGTTCTTTTTAGCGCATCAAAAAGTTCATATATTTTATGAAGTACAAATTAAGCTATCAATGAGTTTCTTAGAATGATCCAACCATTTCTTCATAACGTATACGTTGACTTTCTTTTCGTCGTCTCCAAATACATTACACAATGCCTCAATATAATAAGTTGGGAACTTCCCTTAAATTTCTAAGAAGTACATCATGATTCGTCTCTCATCTTTGCATAATTGGTCTCTCATGACGTCGGAATGAGATGTGTTGGGATTGTTCGAAGGAGATGGAGAGAGTGATAGGGCGATGTTTCTTCTTAGACAAACTTCTACATAGCTCTTATTCTTGACTACCGTGATGGTTCTTCTTTTGCAAGTTAAGCTACTTCAACCATTTAGTAATAAGGTATTCATTCTTTCACTTTCTTTTCATCACTTCCAAATACATTGCACAGTAGTATGGTGGGAACTTACTTTTTAGTCTTAAGAAGTACATGATGGTTCGTGACTCATCTCTGCACAATTCTTCTGAGACCTCGAAATTAGATGTTTAGGGTTTCTTTGACGGAGGAGAGAGAGAGACCGGTGAATGTTTCTTATGTAATTTTCCAGAGGGCTCTGCTTGGCTAGGGAGATAGCAAAAATTGAGAGAACGACTACGGAGAAGACGATGGTTCTCAAGGTGGTTTTCATTATTTTGCTTCTGGTATATCTTGGTGTTATAAGAGAAAAAAGTGCATGAACATATACATATATGTTAGTGATTAGCTGAAACTGTAAATCGTCAATGTTCCAACTTTATATCAGTTTAGTTTCAACTAAGAAGTTTTCATTAAGTCTGGCATTAAAGAAGTTTCTTTAAGAGAAAGTATGTATTGAGTGCACAGGGACATAAGTGGCAGTAACATAAAAATACTCGACCGCTAAATGTCCACAATATCAAAAGACCTCAAAATCAGATCAAGAGAAACGTTTACGTCACCTATAAGAGAGCAACGGATTATTTGTTGTATGATAGGTTGAAAATCTTTTGAATTTTGATGAAGCTGATGAGGAAATCTCCCCTTTATTCATTCACATGTCATTCTTTTTTTTTCTGAACACCAAATATATTAAAATCCCTTTAGCAAAGCTAAGGTGAAAGAATAGAGGTAGCAGTACAGAGAGTAATTTTAGCAAGACGATCAGCTAGAGAATTCAACAAACTTAAAAGAGACAGACAAGAAGTTTAAAGATAGATGTTCGATATCCTGGATGATTCCGAAGAGTTCATCCGGAGGAAGCTTCGATGAAATTGCTGCGAGCAGCGATTGACAATCTGTGTTGAGACTTGAGACAGATACTAAGATAGCCCCGATTGTGAGCTATGGTGATTGTCCAGCGTAATGCTAGAGCTTCTGCTAAAAGAGGGGATGATACGTGACTTTCAGTTCGGGAGGCTTGGTGAATGATTTGTCCTGCCCTGTTTTTGAAGATACATCCAAAAGCTGCTGTGTTGTTTTCCTTCTTCCAAGCAGCGTCTGAGAAACTGAGAATTAGAGCATCCATATCGAGAGTACTCAATGTCTTGTTTCGATGTCGAGCTGGTGGGTTTGTTGTAACCTGCGCCATGTTCCACTCCCGTGCGTTTGTAGAGCGCATTTGAAAAGGTTTCCTCTTGAGAAAATTTCCGGCCTTCAAAAAGAATGGTCGGTTAAAAGCTCTTCAAAAGACTCATGTGCATGTGCAACCGCAACCGTCATTAGGAAGCAATGAGATCAAAACTACGGCAACAAATGCTAATCTAATCGCAGCACCAAGTGGTCCAAACCACTACTCCTCCGGCTCCATTGGTTCCTTCTTTGTAGTCATCTCAGTTCTTATCGTTCTCTTCTACTTCTTGGGCTGGATATGCACACGTAGCCGCTGCCAGAGAACTGCTTTAGTGGCTGAAGCCAATCCGTTGGAGATGATAAATAGTGGTGGAGCATTCAGTTGCCTGAGACGCAAACGGAAACGATGCTTGGACGGAGATGTAGAGTCGGTAGCTAAAGTCGCCGAATGTTCTGGCAAAGAAACGCCAAAAGACTGCAATCCAACTAGTCTAGAAACTCATCCAACTAGATCTATTCGTCACTATGACTGTTTGAGAGAGACTAGTAACAAGACTTTGAAACTTATTCCTTCTGTTATTACCATACGAAAAGTTGTGGAGATTCTTTAAAGTCTTGCAATTTTTTTTAACTCCAATTTTACAAACCTAAAGTTCCAAAACAAGATCCATGAATTGTCGATACGTGAAACATAAAATTTAGGAGAATGTCAGAGGCCAAAAACTGTCTTCGATCAGTGAACAAGAACAAGACAAACCCGTTCAGAGGACAAAATTAAAGGAGACAAACACTCTAGAAACCTCACCAAAAGGTAATGAAATTTAGAAAACAAGCTCATGAGGCTTCATCCCTTGTTTCAATGAGAACCGTGCGCCCAAGTAAGTCTTCAACTCTGGAACTGCTTCAATGGCTTTGATCAAAGCTGCATCGACAGCCTTCTGGTCATCTTTCTTCCCTTGTGGAATCTCCTTCTTCTCCTGAACAATCCAAAACCCCATAAAGTGGTCAAGAATAGTTTTTGATTTTGGTAATCTACTATCTGCCTCTATTGATATATACCTCTTTCTCTGCCTCCAGGAACTCTCCTTCTCCCTTCTTGTTCTTCTTCTCAGCAACCTTTCCAAAATACTTATCATCGAATTTATCGGTGCTAACTCCAGAAATGTCAACCTTTGTGGAAGTGCCAATCACGTAGGACTGATTAACACGTCTCAAAGGAACACCATTGATCTTGAATGGTCCTGAAGCCCAATAACAAAAACAGGAAGTGATTGAGTTTGGTTTCAAATGATCTAATACATCATGAGAATATACAAAAAAAAAAAACTCACCGGACACAAGAAGTAAACCAGAAGTAAGCTGCTTCAAGAAGACAACTCTCTTTCCCTTGAACCGACCAGCAAGGATAATCAGCACTGTCCCTGGAGTGATGCTGGCTCTGAAACACAGTCATAACAAGAGAAATGCTTAATTAAATCAGACAACTTTTCAAGAACACAAGTTTAAAAACAAAATTGGTAAGAAAAAAAAAATTGATCTAAGCAAATCAAACAAAACAAATGAAGACAGTTACATCTGTCTGAATATCAGTCCCAAGAGAGAGTTTTTAATAAAGTACCTAAGCTTGGTGGGCTTTGGCTTGCGTCTGTTGGCGAGAGGTTTCTTGACGTCTTCAGCAGGATAGAACTTAGCGGGCTTTTCCGCCGGAGAATCAACCTTGGACTTAGCGTCGTGGCGAGGGAAAACGCCGCCGTTTTTGGCCTTGATAGCCCAAAGACCTCTCTTATGGTACATCTGAGACCTTGAGTATTTACCAACTCCCCTGATAAGATCAGGGTTTCTGCTGACCTTCGGTGTCCTCTGCTTTGCCGGCATCGTTGCTGTGTATCGGCGGGGATCGTCGAAGGGAGAAGAGGGAGAGAGACTGACGATAAGTTAAGAATTGGAAGACGTAGAAACCCTATATTATCATGGGCCTACAGTGGGCTTTGGAGTTTGGTCGGGCTTCAGTTTTGGCCCATTTGTTTTTTTATCATCGTAAATTTTTATTTTAACTAATTTATTTGTGTACCACATTTAGGGTCCCATTCTTTTGGACTTTGGCTGTTAAGACTTTGAAAATATTGACTTTAGAAAATTGTGGCTGTTGCTTTAGTGGCTGTGATTTTTTAAAAGTAGAAAAATATATTTTAAAGCCTCAAGTTCTGGCTTTTTTTAAAAGAGCCATTTGCATATAAATACATAAAGATGAAGTAATTTGCAGAGATGGAAAAAGGTTGTCGGGTTTGTGTAAAAAGACACTGCTGACCCTATCACTTGTAATCATTCTCTTTTTTTTTTGTTTTTTATCTATTACCCAAAATATTTATTTCTCCATCTTTCCATTAATTTATCGTCATTTTCTTTTTTCTATTTTATTTACAGATTTTTGAAGCTGGGTTCTGTATTTTGAGAGAGAGAGAGAGAGATAAGAAGAAGACATTGACAGAATGTGAAAATGAAAGAAATTAGAGGAATCAAAAACGTCGTACCACCTGAAGATAACTGGTGAATCGATGTATTTTAAATTTTGGAACATAGTGGTGATAAAGAAAACAAATTTAATTTGGACAGAGATTCGTAGGTTCATTGATTCATTGAGTATTATGAATGCCTTTTTCTACAGCAAATGAATTACGAATTCAACTTTTGATTAAGTAATTAACATTCCTAAGATCTGACAAATAAACAAGTCATTTAGATACATCTAGAAGCATGATTTTTTAAGAAGCATGATTATAATTCATGAAAATGGAAAAATAGCTAGCTCTCTTGAAATCAACACAAAATGGGGAGGGTCATGAATCACTTCTAGTATCCAATATAAATTAGCAGGTTAAACTATCATTTATTTGGACAATTTATTAGTTGGTAGGCTATATTCTGATTTATCTGGATAATTTATATGTTAGATGTTATTTAAATTTATATTTACCGGATATTTAATCAACTGATTATATATAGAAGCAGTATTTATAGTACAATTATATATGGTTATTTAAAGGATTAATTGCTTGTATATAATGTTCGGCTAAATATAAAATTAACTGTATAACAATTTATATCACATATAACTAAATTTGTGGTCAGTTAAATATAAAATTAGCTGTCAAATAAATCAGAACACATATAATTAATTTTATGTGTACAGTTAAACGTAAAATTAACTCTCTAATAAAATGATAACACATATGATTAATTTTATGTGTACAGTTAAATATAAAATTAACTCTCTAAAAAATTATTCCTTAGCGGATATTTGATTTAGGAGTTTCACATTCATCATCATGCACCAATAAATCTGACTTATTGACCTCTATCCTTAAACTCCGGTAAAAGAAACACATTTTCCATTTACAAAAAAAAAAAAAAAACACCTTTTTTCATCAACATCAGATTCTTCCTTATTAGTCCATGCGTTTAATGTTTTATTTAAAGAAGGGAAACAAAACAGCAAAATTGTAAATCTAGAACATCAATAACCACCATTACCCAGCGAATCAGAAGCTAAATAATCTACAGATTATAGAAGTCAAACTACAAAAAACAATCAGAGGTAACTAGTGAGTCAGAAAAATGATTGATTCTCTTTCAAAAGTGACAATATTGGCGAAGTGTGTTGAAGAGAGAAAGATTGATAAAAAATCATCTTTAGTTGTTGGTTTAAAATATATGGGTTTAAGAGAGAGAGAAAGAAGAAAGTACAGAAGAATGTGGATTTTCGACTAGAGGAAAGAGAATGATATAGTTAAAAAAGTTATATGTTTTGTTTAAATTGAATAGGGGCAAAATGGTTATTAAAAAAGAACAGCTCAGCATAATAATGATTTTTCCATCTAGGCAAATTATGCAGTTATCTGTGTATATAGGTGCTAATTTCTCAATGGAAAAATAGCTAGCTCTCTTGAAATCAACACAAAATGGGGAGGGTCATGAATCACTTCTGGTATCCAATATAAATTAGCAGGCTAAACTACCATTTATTTTGGATAATTTATTAGTTGGTAGGCTATATTCTGATTTATCTGGATAATTTGTATGTTAGATGTTATTTAAATTTATATTTACCGGATATTTAATCAACTGATTATATATAGAAGCAATATTTATAGTACAATTATATATGGTTATTTTAAGGATTAATTGCTTGTATATAATGTTCGGCTAAATATAAAATTAACTGTATAACAATTTATATCACATATAACTACATTTGTGGTCAGTTAAATATAAAATTAGCTGTCAAATAAATCAGAACACATATAATTAATTTTATGTGTACAGTTAAACGTAAAATTAACTCTCTAATAAAATGATAACACATATGATTAATTTTATGTGTACAGTTAAATATAAAATTAACTCTCTAAAAAATTATTCCTTAGCCGGATATTTGATTTAGGAGTTTCACATTCATCATCATGCACCAATAAATCTGACTTATTGACCTCTATCCTTAAACTCCGGTAAAAGAAGCACCTTTTCCATTTACAAAAAAAAACACCTTTTTTTTCATCAACATCAGATTCTTCCTTATTAGTCCATGCGTTTAATGTTCTATTTAAAGAAGAAAAACAAAACAGCAAAATTTCAAATCTAGAACATCAATAACCACCATTACCCAGCGAATCAGAAGCTAAATAATCTACAGATTATAGAAGTCAAACTATAAAAAACAAACAGAGGTAACTAGTGAGTCAGAAAAATGATTGATTCTCTTTCAAAAGTGACATTATTGGCGAAGTGTGTTGAAGAGAGAAAGATTGATAAAATACACATAATTACTTAGGCGCGTGTATGATGTAAAATTATATATCTCGTCAGACGTAGCCTTTGCTAGACTTAGGGGCATCGGTGGTATTATTCAAAATGTAACAGTGCTTTTCCATATACCTAATATATTATGTTTCTATAGTTATCTGATGCAAATTCCCTTTAAAATATATGGGTTTAAGAGAGAGAGAAAGAAGAAAGTACAGAAGAATGTGGATTTTCGACTAGAAGAAAGAGAATGATATAATTAAAAAAGATATATGTTTTGTTTAAATTGAATAGGGGCAAAATGGTTATTAAAAAAGAACAGCTCAGCATAATAATGCTTTTTCCATCTAGGCAAATTATGCAGTTATCTGTGTATATGGGTGCTAATTTCTCTTTTAAAAAAGCAAGCAAACGTGAATAGAAATGAAAAAGTTAGACTTTGAGTGTTTTTAGGTAATTTTAAAGTTTTTATAGCCTTGAAAGCTTAATCCCCAATCAGGCCCTTAGTCTAACCGACAACGAGAGTAACTAGAGAAATACTATTACTATCCTAAAAAATTTATCTTCTATATTTTTTTTCCTTTCTATTTCTCCTACTTCTTTTTATTTAGAGTAAAATAACAGGGTGTTATTAGTTGTATAACTGTAAATTAACTCCATTAGATTTAAACTAGATAAGATTTAAATTTTTTTGATTCAGTTTACAATTTAAGATGCATGGTTTATCTAAAATCCTTAATCAACTTATATATAAAATCAACATGATACCAATTGATTTATATAACATAATTGAGCTCCATTTAAAAAGGAAATTTTGTCAAAATATAAACTGAAACTATAAAATATATATTGAATCATCACAATACATATTAAACTTGCAATGACTATTTCATTAAAAATGAAATACTATATTTAAAAAAATTACAATCCTACATTACAACACGTATTATATACTAACTTAATTATAAATATATACTTTGAGGAAATACTATTTACATACCCAAGTAATAAATATAGGTTCGAAAATAAGATTTAATTTATATTCACAAATATATGAATGAAAAATTAAATCTTCGCCATATGTGATAAACTTAAAAATAATACATTAATCAATTATTTTTCATCTCATTTTTAAATTGTAGTTTAGAAGTGCAAATCAAAATCTTGTTCAAAATATATTAAATTCAAGTTAATCAATAAGTCTATTATCGATTACTGTTTAGAGATGGCAATTGGGCTCTCCATCATGTCCCGTCCCGGATCGCTGCGGGTTCGTCTTCTAGCGGGACACGGCAGGCATGTCCCGCGCGGGATGCGGTCTTGAAAACAGCTGTCCAATCCCATACCATATTTCTTGTAGGCCTTCGCGGGCCGTCCCGCTGGATATGTGATAATACGCGCAGTAGAACGATTCAGTCCACTCCAAAACGCTTCAGGTCATTCTAGGATATAGTTCAAGTTGTCGATTCAACTGAACATAATTAATCAATC